GCTGATTTCCTATTTTATACCAGCCCAATTATTACTAATGATGGGCTTCCTTACCAAGTGGAAAGACTGATAACCCTTTGAAGTGTTATGTAATCCCATTGTAATTCATTAGCATGAATAATAGTTTGTAGTGTCTCTGCCTCCCCCATAGCATTTATAGTTCCTTAAATTATACTTTGTGTGTGTTTGTGTGAGAGGTGTCCCCTATTGTGATCCCTTGAACACGGCAGTTGCTGTTTAACACACAGGAGTGAGACACCTAGTAAACAGCGTGTATGTGTATTGATTTTTGTTGTCCCCTTTATTCTCTCTCTCTGCCTTCTTTTCCTCTGTCTCCTTCTTTCCTTTGTCCCTTTAATCTTTGGGACAGTGCATTTTTAAGTACATGGTAGGTGCTCAGTAAGTACTTTTGAGTGATATGTTGACAAGAAAGTAAGTACAGGCACAGCTTGGAGATGTTGCAGGTTCTTTTCCAGACCACTGCAGTACAGGGAGTCAGGCAAATTGTGTGGTTTCCCAGTTCATAGGAAAGTTACATTTACACTGTATTGTGGTATACCAAGTGTGCAATAGCATTTTGTCTAAAAAAAAAATAATAATATGCATACGTTAGCTTAAAAAGTACTTTATTACTAGAAGATGCCAATCATTATCTGAGCCTTTAGCCAGTGGCTTCAAAAAAAAAAGATCTGATCACAGATAACATAATAATAAAATTATAAGAGATAATAGTACAATAATAGTGAAAATATTTGAAATACTGTAAGGATTACCAAAATGTGATGCAAAAACATGAAGTGAGCAAATGCTGTTGGGAAAATGGCATTGAAAGACTTGCTTGACTTAGAGTTGCCACAAGCCTTCAATTTGTAAAAATGCAGTATCTACAAAGTGCAATAAAATGAGGTATGCCTGTACTTCTTTATTCAGTCATAATCCTCTATTCCTAAAATGATTTTCCTGGAAAAAAAAGTGGCTCCTTAAATAGTCTTGGAAATAGTAATCATTACAATGAGTAGTCTTTATTACCTTTTATCATGTAGCCTGCTTTTCACCCAGTGCCACTACCTACCAAGGTGAGGACATAGCTGTGTATTTGTGGACATCCCTCACTTCATCACTGCACAGCTTCTTCTACAAGGTTCCCCCATCTCTGCCTAATCCAAGTCATGTAGTGATTTCCAGAATATAATTTCCATCAGTTTGCCCAGAACTGGGCATCATGCTCCTTTACTATTAAACTGTCAACTCATTTTCTTACCATCTTAGCAGGAAAACAGAGCTCCTTCGAAGAAGGAGCCCTGTACTTTTCTGAGAAGGAGAAGCAAAACTATATCCTTCCAGTATTTAAAATTACTGTTTTAACATTTATATAGCAAATACTCTATAACTCTTGGTTCTGTTGTAAGCACTTTACCAAAACTAATTCTTATGCTTGTAAGGCCTATTGTGTAGGTCATCCTCAGTTCTTAGATGTGGAAACCAAGGTAGAAGGCTAAGTAGCTCACCCAAGAGCTGCTGGGTATAACAGTTGGTGGTTTAACTGTGGCTTTTACTATTCGAGGTATTTCTGCAGACAGGAGTTACATATGGTCAAGAAATCTTCAAACATTGAGACTGCTGCAATACACTGCTTAAGAAGAAGAGAATTCAGTAGCAAATTGAGTAAAGCTTTCTGATATTCAGGCATAGGAAGCACATTTTCCCTTGGAAAGGCTCATGCACCAGTAGTTCCTGTGGATGGTGGCTTTCTGTAGCTGTGTCCCTTGAATTCAACTTGCTGGCTCATCTTGGCCCTCTTGCGATTTATCACAGCCAATGAGGAGAGCCAGTGGCACTTGCAGTATTCTGCCTGGGAAATCTTCTTACCTAGATTGTTAGGGCATTTCCAGTTTTCACCTTACCCTAGGTGACAGTGTTGCCAAACTACATCTTCCCGTTCCTCTAGCTTCTAGTAACAGTTTAAACCTTTTAGCCCTGACAGTCAGCCTTGTCAAAGCTCTTCCCCCTTCCCGGTCCCAGTGACAAAGCTACCTATTAGATTTTTTTTTTTTTTTTTTAAGTAGTAACACCCTACTTCCACAGTCCAGAATCTCAGTTATCTAATGCTGCAAAATTGAGTGGCTTAAAATGATAATAGTTGATTATTTTATTTCTCTGCACCAAGCATTGTCATCTTGCTGGGGTCACTCCACTTGACTGGGGTCTTTCCACCTTCAAAATGTCTCACTCTGATGCCTGGCTAGTTGTGCAGGCAGTTGGCTAGGAGCTCAGCCTGGACTTTTGGGCGGTGACCTCAGTTCCTTTTTGTAGACTTAATGGCCTGGTGATAGTTGTGTGCCAAGAGTGAATGTCTCAAGATTCAGTTGGGAGCTCTGATTAATGAGTTTCACCATAGTCAGTTTCTAGGAGAGGGAACCCAGATACTGTCTCTTAACACGGGGTATCCAGTCATGTTATTAAAGAAGAGCGTGAGGTCTTTGGAGATACTGTGCTCATTTTTGGAGAGTGTAATCTTCCACAAAACAAGAGCTTTTGTCTCCATCTTTTCTACCTTAGTTAAGCAAATTCCAGTAATATAATTTTTCCACATTGTTAGATGATGTTTTCATTTAAGTATACATGTGTATTTATATATGGCAATTTTATCTCATCTGTTTTGCCTTGAATACATTGTGGTTGTTCTTTTCATTAATATTGTACTTCAAAAGAACCTGCCATCTTTTAGGAAAATCAAATTCTTTTAAAAAAAAGATTCAAATATGATTTATACTCTGGTTTGCATTTGTAGATCAAATAGCTTAAGCATTTATTGAAAAATGACTGATAATTTATTTTCTTCCTAAAGGTAGCCCATGAATGGTGATGAAAAATATTTCAAAACAAATAATAAGAAATGATTTGCTGTTGACATGGGTGTGTTTTGCAATGAGTTAGTTGACTGTTTTATACTCTTAGGACAAGCCTATTAAGTATTCATTTGTTTAGCTAGTATTTGTTGAGTATTGATTGTGTCAGGTGTTGGCAGCCAGAAATCGTCTTACCCTCATGGAATATATAAGGAAAAAGATGGGCATTAATGGGTAATCACCGAGTAAATGTGAAATCATAGCCATGTTCAGTACTCCAGAGAAACGGAACTCAGAAAGTATCTGAGAGGGAACCTGACCTCGTCTGCTCTAATGAAGTGGCCTGTTTAGCGGAGATCTGGATGGTGAGGAGGATATAGCCTCACCAAGAGGCACACAGCAGCCTCGCACAATCCTCAGGCGGACATCCATGGAGATCCATGCCGCTGGCTTACAGCCGTTCTTGAGGAGAGCAGTAGCTTCAGCTGTGATTCTGTTAGGAGACCATGTATTTAGGGCCTCTCGGAAAGCGCATGATCATACAGGCCTTACAGTGCAGAGGTCTGAGTTTTAAGGACCCTTTTTCATTTATATTTTTTAATAATGGTGATCCCTGTAAACAGGTACAATTCAAGTAAGTATGAAGTGGAGCAGTATCCTCACGTGTGGCCCGGGGACTCCTGGAGTTAACCAGACCCTTTCAGGATATTGAGACCAAAATGATTTTCCTTGTAATACTGAGACATTATCTGTCTTTTCCACATTCCTTCTTTTATGAGAGTAAGTGAACTTCCTCAGAGACTGGGTGATGTGGTTTCATCCCAGCAGATTGGATATGAGAGCATACATGAGACTTCAGCTATTATCCTTTCATCCAGACCTTTAAAAACCTGCAAAAATGGGAAAAAAATGCCATTCTTTTTGTTTATTTTTGAAAATATTGTTACTTTCATAACAATGTTATTTATGTTAACATGTAAGAGGCTTATCTTTATTATTTGTAAATGAATTAATATGTATTTCAGAACTTTCCGTTTTAACTTCTTGCATGGTAATTAAAGTGTAAAGAGGTTTTGAGACCAAAAGTTTGAGAACTGCTGAAGTATGGCATTGTTCTCAACTTTAAGCATGTTACTTAATGTTGGAGATGCAAGCAGTCTGTAAAATGGGGTTGATGATCAAAGTACTTCCCTCGTAAAAGGATAAAAACAAGTTAGTGTATGTCAGGAGCCTGTAAGACTACGTGGCGCAGAGTACACATTCAGCATATGTTAATTGTATCATTATTGCCATTTAATATGAAAGTAGAAATTTATGTGAATCCAAATGCTTCTGAGGCTCGGTAGCAAAGAATTTTGCTCTTGTTTGTGGTCATCTCTTTTGTTTTGGTGAAACACGGTATTCAAAGGTGAAAGAAATTGCAATGTGTAATTTTTTTTTTTTAGTTCATTTTTAACATAGGTTTTTATTGGCAGATGGTCAGGATGGCATGTTTGAAGACATGAAAATTCAGGATAGCTTGCTATACCTTTTCCACCTCCCTGCCCGCCCTCCCAGTCCATTCCCTTCTCCCCACAGCAGAGTTCTGCTGTGTTTAGAATCATGGGGAACAGAGGGGCACATCTCATTTGGGAGAACTCCCTGGGGTTGGGGTCCATGCCCTGGACAGGGAGCTGATAGGAGGAACTTAGTTCCCTCACTTTTCAGGTGGAGTCACTGAGGCCCAGAAGAGGGATTTGCTCACACAGGTTCAACCCGCATATTAGAGGCCTACCTGGGACAAGAGCTGACATTCCGATTTGTAATGGTAAGAAAACCAGGCTGAGAATCAGAAGAACTGGTTTTAGTCTCAAACACTTCAGTTGGTTGTCTGATGTTGAGCAGTTGACTAAAATCACTGATCCTTAGTGTCCCTATTTGTCAAATGGAAGTGAAACTACCCACCATCCAGGGCTGTGAAAAGGATCAGTGAGATGCCATGTAATGGTACCCAGGATGCATCCTCCTAGCTTATCTCTCTGCTCCTTTGCATGTAAAGTCTGTAGAGAGACACTTCCCAGTGAAATAAAATACTCCTTTCAGAACCTTAAAGCCCTCCTTAAATGTTGTGTTTTGCAGCTTTGTAACATTTTCTTTTTTCTGTCTTTTTAGGACAGCCCAGAAACTTGCAGGACCTGTGCCGAATTAAAATTCGACAGTGTATAGGCCTTCAAAACCTAAAACTACTTGATGAACTACCAATTGCCAAGGTCATGAAAGACTACTTAAAACACAAATTTGATGATATCTGATACACAGAGAACTGTGAGCAAGATTAGGAGTTATATTCCAGATACTTAAAAGGCTTTTTGCCTTGCACAAAGTATATCCTATGCAATTTCTGATTTGCTGTGAAGTCAGAAAGCAGGTATACACTTACAGGTTTTTTTGTTTGTTTGGTTGGTTTTCATTGTAGGGGAGAGGTTTTTTTATACACACACACACACACACACACACACACACCCCACATGCTTGAAGGTCTTAATTTGGTTTCTTGGTCCAAGTTTAAGAGGTCCAAGCTTTCTATACAATATTGCATTTAAAACAATTGTTTTTCCAAAATGACACAAGCAGGTTTGGAGTGGAGAATCAAATTTATGGTTTCATTGGCGTGCACAATATTATAAACCAGCAGAGCACTTGTTACAATTTGGAGGCACAATTTCAGCCAGGGCATCCAGGGTCCTACTGGAAAATGCCCTAAGAAATTTTTTAAGTAATGCCGTCACCTCATTCATTTTAATGAGTACAAATTGGCTGTTTCAAACTGTTCGTTTCCTAATTAATGTAGCTTTGGATGACTTACACCCAGCCCCTCTGCTTTCCATTGGTGTGCTCGTTCTAACTCACTTTTAACAGCTGTAGTACACTACCCAGAGACGTTGAGTCTCAACCTCTGTCTCTAGTTGAATCGTGCTTTTAAAACAATTAATGGGAAAGAAAAAACTTTATAAAGCCCGTGTATTCTGTTTTTAAAATAGTGCCTCCAGTGCAAACTCTTTCTGATGTATTTTATCCATTATTTCACTTGATGTTCCTCATTCCACAGCTGGCTTTGACATGCCTATAAGAACAGGAACTGCCACTTTAATTTTAATTGCAGAACATAGTGTCAGTTGCAATTTCCATTTTAAGCTTTGTCTTTTACTTCAGTTTAAGCAGAAAATTTCATGTCCTGGTGGTAGAGTATTCCCTAAAAATAGCCAAAATACTGTTAAATCATTTGGCTTTAATGGATAAATAATTTGGGATGGTTTCATGATGTTTATTTCTTCCCAGTTGAAATAAAATGTCTAAAGGGTAAAATTTCTAATGGGTGCACATTTGTAAGTCTGGTTAATTTCTAATATGCTAATTAAGCATTTTAAAGTTATACACAGTGACGCTCTTCAGAACAGTTATTTTCTGGATTGATGGGCATATGTTTGCAGTGTAAACATAAATATGATAAAGTGTGAATAACAGTGGTTCCACAGGTGTTAGGAATCTATGGAGATGCCCTTGGAAACGAGCCCTGTGCTTGATGTGTCATCATACTAGTTCCAGAAGCTTTAAAACTATCCCAGTATTGTTCTTAGTGCTTTGGGAAATTTCAGAATATTTACACACTAGTAATAAATTTATTATCAGAAGTTTACAAAAGAAAGGGCTTCTCTTGTCTCAACTTCTAGTTTTAAGTCATTAAGTATAAAGTTATTTCACCTGGAAAGTAAAACTAAGTAGAATTAGGAGTCTCCTCTGGTTTTATCCTTTATCAGAGCCAACAGTGATATTTCCTCAAGCACAAAATTTATTCTCCTGGATGTGAAGTAGCTCTGGCATCAGATACCTGCTCTGCTGGGCCTGGGCTGGGAGCAGGTTTCTGAACAGTGGGCAGCTTCGGGAAGAGGGTGATGTGAGGGATCAAGGATGGGGTACGTAGCCTCTTCCGCAGGGAACCACTCAATGTGTGGCCAGTTTTGCAACCATCCAAAAACTGTAACTGAGGTGTGATAGAAATGGGTGTTCCGATTTTTTTCCCATAAAAATATCTCCAAAAAGTTATCTTCTGAGAGAGAGTCCTTGTGAAGCTAGGAGCTGAGCTGTGTTCTCCTTCTGGAAACCAATAACCAGGTCAGAGCTAAGGCACACTTGACATCAGGGACCTGGCTTGGCTGGAAATGAATGGTGTTGCTTCTCCCTGAACCCAGGCCAGGGAGACAAGGACGTGGGAAGGCAGGCAGAACCCTGCCTTTGAGCAGTGATGTTACTGTTACGTTCGCACAGGGCTCATCTCCTCATGTGTCTATTAATTTATTCAGTTAGTTTAAAATGATTTTCTTTCCCCAGCCATTCGGAGGTCTCTGAAACTAAGTTCACCACTGAGAGTCAGGAAATTCCAAGTAAAAAAGATCAGATTAAGGTAAATTCTCTGCTCTGTATTGCTCCTTAGACTTAAGAGAAAAAAAAAAAAAATTATGAGACCTCTTCCTGGAATCAGAGTTTCTATTTAATGAAGAAGTGTATAATTCCATTATTTGTTTGAGGTTTGATTTTTCTGGAAGCTTGAAAAGAGTGTTTTATTTTTGTTGTTACTAGAATCCCAATCACATATTATCTTTAACAGTAACTAAAATGTCTCAAAGTTGGTAACTGGTGGAATACAGGGATGAATGTGCAGGTCTGCTCTCCACTTTGATTGGCAGAGAAGCACTCTGTAGTAACATAGTGAGAACAAATGTTTTCAGAAAATCAACTGGTTTTTCCAGAATCTTGACTGAAATGTTCAGAATAGTATCAAATTTGTCACTGATCCTTCTGTGTTTCTTTTGAAATTTATTATTTAAGCCTGTTACTAAACCTTTATAAAAATATATTTGGCAAGTACACCAAAGACACCAGCTCATAAAAGATTATGATCATTAATGAACTGCAAACCTCATCTTTTGCAAACGGAAGATTTTTTTTGTGTGTGTAAATATTTGTGTTTATAAATGTACAGCAGAGTAAGGGTGTTTTTTAGATTATTTAATTTCCATATTTCTAAACTATTTACTACAGAATAATCCACGCTTGTTAGTTTGGAAGACTTGACAATTTTGTTTTTTTAATTCATTATCAGTCATGCTTGGAGCAGCATTTCCGCTAGAGAATTCAGTGTTCTGGCAGTAGCAAGAGTACACATCTGGAGCATGAGGGAGTCTAGCTTGGTTTGTCAGATACACACCCTACGAGATGAGAATGTGTAGTTTAATTACCACAATGGACCATACAAAAACTGAGGTTCTAACTTTGCTGCAGAATTGCAAATCAGCCCAGAGTGTCATTGGGATGAGGCCCTTGGCCCACAAATTTAGCTCTCATGTAACTCCTAGTGTGTTATATCATAATGTATTTTGTTCTTCCTTTGTAATGTAAGTTTTGCTTTGGGTCAGTTTGAATTAAAAAAAAAAATCACTTAAATCTGGTTTAAAACATAGTGGAACTGTGTTTTATTTCTAGTCTGCCTTAACTTTTTAATACTTGCAGCTATTTGGTCAAAAGAAAGAAAGTGAACTCTGTCTTTTATTCCTCAGCATTTTAGATAATTAAGAATTGGGTAAGAATGTAACACAGGAAATAGCACTGTTTTAGATCATTTAAGAATCCCCCCCAACCCCCGCCCTGCTTTTTAATGCATTCTTCAAATACCCTCCAACAAAAGACTATCTATCCCCTTCTTCTGCGTGTTGATCCGCCACTGAGCCTTTTGGGGCCATATTCACCTCTGCCTCATTCTGACTGAGGACAGAGTTTGGACCACAGCATCTCTAAGCACAGAACAGTATATTCAGTTAAATAATGAATTTGAGGTAGTTTATTAGCTTGCAAGAGATATAACAAAACAGCTTTGATTTCATACTTCCTCTGTATCCCATAAGCACAGCTTGATTTAGTAGAGGCCTCAGACTAATGAGTGATGGTGTGCTAAGAAGGGAGGGCAGACGACTTAGCACCTCGTGCAGAAACACAGTGTTTTGCAGCCATAACCTTGTTACAGACTTGTCCAAGATTTGGCACAAATGGAAGCCAAGAATGGGACATTTGAAACTATTCCTAATGATCAGCAGGGGAGTTCAGATGTGAAAAATAGTTGTGTTGCTTGGAAATCTTGAGGTCATTCCTTTTCCAATATGATGTAAGTAGTGTATTGTTTTTTCAGCTGAAAGACAATTTATAAAAAATGGCTTACTAGCTATTGATAAAACAGATTATCTAGTTGATAAAAAAAAATCTCCACATCCCATGTAGTTGGCTTTCAAAGATAAAAGAAAGTGGACTTGTATCATTTTGTATTTATGTAACATTGTGGCTTTGTGTTCTCATAACACATCTTACAAATTTTAATGTCAGAATTTATATTAGCTTCAATGCCAGTAAAGATTTTAAATATCCACTGCCAGATACTGTTATTTAGGTTGATGTAGACTCCTAAGATACAAAGACAGTTTGACTTTATTTTATCATTATTTTGTCGTTACTAGTAAGGTTTATAGTAAGGTCTCTTAATTCTTAGATAAAAACAAAAAGGTCAACCAGCATATGGCTCTGCTGATAAACAGTGATCAAAGTCTTATATTTCCCTAAGATCATGGTACATTTTGTAGATATTTATCTTCCATAAAAACTGATTTTTGAGTGACAGTTAACAATGCTCAATCCCATTTGAAAAGACTGAAGTCCTATGGGAGATCATTGTGTGAATAAAACCCAAAAGTGGCAGTGTTGTTGCAGTGCATGAACTACTCTTGTGAAGTGTCTTCTACAAAGTGTTGCTGTTTCCATTTCTTACTCAGCTGTGCCCAGAGTGTCTCCTGCTGGGTTTCAATTCTGCACCCGCAGGCTCAGTGCTTTATCAATTCTGAAGACCCATAAACCATTAGAAGTAAAGGATCAGATTAAAGCAAAATATTTCTCCTCTGTTGCAGATACGGTCTCAAAAAAAAATCATGTAATCATGTGTAGTTATTATAATATATTTTATATTTAATCTTGGTTTGTTCCAGCATCTTAAAAATCACACTCGGAACCTTTTTTTAATGTTTCCTTGTAATTAGGAAATTGTTTTAAATGCATAAAAATGTAATTTATGTTACATTAGGTAGTCGTTAAGTGACTCACTTTCTGTGAAATAGTATTTTATGAATCAGAAGTGAGATGGCTGCGTTTGGACAAGGGGGTCAGTTGAAGCTGAGCAGCTCAGTTATGTGGTGAGTAGACTGACGCTTTGTGA